TGAATATGTGGGGGGTTCATTTCAGTGGATTCTGAGTAAGTAGGCTATGGCAGAAGCAGAGCTTTTTCTTATTGGCTGGGTAGACAATGAGAAACCATTATGATTGTCAGAGAGAAGAAAGGGCAGCGTCATAACAGAAGCAGTTCTGTTGGCTGAAGATTGCAAGTCTATAATTGGTCTCAATTAGGAGGAACAATGAAGTCATCCATTGGAGCTTTATTTATGTTCTTGTGGCTGCAGCTGAACTGTGAGTTGAGGGATTTGGGGAGAGTATATTAGTGAATATTTCTTTGAAGCCAAGGAATAAACGGGCTTTATTCAGGGTTCCTCTAGTTACTATAGAAAAGGAAAAGTAAATTCTGGACTGTAATTATCAGGCAAAACTTCTTTTTTCTCTGACTCTTTCTTTCTGCATAGGGGTCAGCCATGGAGAGAAAGTGGATCAGCATCCTTCTACCTTGAATGTCCAGGAGGGAAACACCGCTGTTATCAACTGTTCTTATTCAGACAGTGCCTCAGCTTACTTCCCTTGGTATAAACAAGAACCTGGAAAAGGTCCCCAGCTCAGTATAGACATTCGTTCAAATAAGGACAAAATCCAAGCTGGAAGACTCACTGTTTTATTGAATAAGGCGGCCAAACATCTCTCCCTGCACATCGCAGCCACCCAACCTGGAGACTCTGCCGTCTACTTCTGTGCAGCGAGTACACATTGATTCCCAGGCACCTGCATCCTGTACACAAACCTGTGAGTGGGGCAGCCCCCTCTGCCTGGGCTAGACCTGCAAGCATAGCATTTGTGAAATTGTCTGCAAGTGGAAACTAATGTGTTGTATGTTAAAAACACATAATAGGAAGGTTAATTTCAAGATGACCCAGAAAGTGTTAGAACATTTTGCTGGAAGACTGTTCCTTAATGGATTTTTCATTTTGGATTGTAAAGCTCTTATTTTATTTATTTTTTAAAAAATATATTTTTATTTATTTCAGTGAGGAAGGGAGAGGGAGAGATAGAAACATCAATGATGAGAGAGAATGATTGGTGGGCTGCCTCCTGCAGGCCCCCGATGGGGATTGAGCCTGCAACCAGGCATGTGCCTGTCCAGGAATCAAACTGTGGCCTCCTGGCTCATAGATTGATGCTCAAGCATTGAGCCACACCAGCTGGGCTGTTATTTAAAAATATTTTTGGTTAATCCTTTCTTGAGGATTAGTTTTTCCACTGCTTTTTTTTTAAATTCTAAACTTTTCTTTTTTATTTCAAGAAAAACGATTTTAAATATAATAATGTTACATGCAATAAACATTAATATCTCCAGAAAAATGATTTTAAACATAATAATGTTACATCAATAACACCAATTATTTAAGAAAAACTATCTTAAATATAATAATACTAGAGGCTCAGTGCACGAAATTCATGCAGGAGGGGTCCCCTCAGCCCAGCCTGCACTCTCTCCAATTCCGGGACTCCTCGGGGGATGTCCGACTGCCAGGATGGGGCCTAAACTTGCACTCGGACATCCCTCTCACAATTCTAGACTGCTGGCTCCTAATCGCTCACCTGCCTGCCTGCCAGGTTGCCCCCAACTGCCCCTCCCCTGCCTGCCTGGTCGTCCTCAACTGCCTCCCCTACTGGCCTGGTCACCCCTAACTGCCCCCCTCGTCAGCCAGGTTGCCCCCAACTGTCCCCCCTACTGGCCTGGTCACCCCGAACTGCCCCCCTCGTTGGCCTGGTTGTTCCCAACTGCCTCCCCTGCTGGCCTTGTTGCCCTTCATGCCCCCCCTCCC